AACTCCCAGAATTCCCCAGCTGGGGAATTCTGGGAGTTGAAGTCCACCCGTCTTAAAGTTGCCAAGATTGAGGAACCCTGAACTAGTCCGCCCCTTGCTCAGTGTAGGACCCAGTACAACGTCTCTGACACAGGACCATCCAGTCTCTGCTTGAAGATCACCAGCGAAGGAGAAGTCACCTCTTCTTGTGGCAGCCTGTGCCACGGGCTGACAGCTCCTACAGTCAGGAAGCAGGACTCCTGTGCTTCTAACAATGGCATAACAGAGAATTTGGGCTGCTTCAGCTGGCTGGGCTGAATCTTCCCCTTCAGAAATTCGACCTTCCTTTGCAAATAGCTGCTCCGCTAACCCCGGGATCCCACTTGAGTGCAAAACTATAACCAGCGTTGGGTCTAATGCTGCATGCCTGGCATCTGTTGGCCCAGCAATTTGGAACGCATTGGCAACTTACTCCCTCCCAAAATTAAGTAAAAGTTTGATTCAATTTGAAAGGGTCAACGTTTCTCAAGAGAACCCATCTGGGTGAGATTTTGTGCAAGGATGTGGAAACTGTGTATGGCTGAGCAATCTGGCAGGGTTCCAGGTGATTCAAAAAGGCATCTGGGCCAACATGGGAGATCACCCAGTTGTGCTTTTGCCCTGCAAAAGATTCCCTGCCTGGTCATTGTTAGGGCAGGAATGGCCAATTCAAGTCTCCTGCGTCACATGAAGCACCCTGGCAATGCTTTGGGGGTTCCTAAGCACTCCCCAAATGGGGAGAACTGAAACACCTTAAGCCTTGGGTGGCTTTGAAGCCAATGTCATCCCTCCCTGACCACTGCTCTAAAATTAAACTGATTTCCCCCATTGGCAGGTCTTCAAGTCTTCCCCTGAACCCCAAGCTGGAACGCTTGGGCTCCACCCAACCAGGACAGCCAGGATCCTGAGGTCCCCAGACCTCAAATATATATTTTTAAAAATGCCCTATCCAGTCAGCAAATATAAACCCCCACTTCTCAAATGCCATTTCAAGAAGTTTACCCCCTTGTCTGCTCGGGCCAGCAGTGGCTTTCCACTCACCTTCTCTCTCTGGTTCTGGAAGATACATTGCCTCTGCATCTCGAGCTCATGGTTCAGGTCCTGGACATAACTCTGAATTTCTGCACCCACCTCTTGGAGGGCCTGGAGGGCAGTGCCCGAGGAGAGGGGGATGGTGCCCCTGGGAAAGGAAATGGTGCCAATCGTGTCATTTGCCTCACTGGAATGACGACATCATGACACGCGTGACATCCTCGTGGCTGGCCATCACCGGAAGGTGTGAAGAGAAGGCTAAAAATCGTTGGAGAACTAAAAGGGCAGATTTACAAGTTCAAATGAACTGCTTGGGGCTGAAATACAGAAGAAAATAGGGGGGAAATATTAGCAAGGACCAGGAAAAGAATCAGGCCACTCTCAAAGTTAAGAGCAGAAGTCAGGGAAACCGGTCAGGTAGATGCAAGCCAGGAGGAGGGTTAAGAGAAGACAACACAGGATGGGCAACCTGTGTTAGCTTGTAACCTGCCTTTGGCTTTGGGCCTGTCTGGATGGGTAAAACAGGGGCTCTCAAACTCTTTCAGGCCAAGGATCTGTTCATTAAAACAAATATTCCTGGAACCCCTGATGAAGAAGTAAAGCTCAAGTGAACGTTTTTCTTCCAGTTAAGTTCACATGGAACCCTAGGATTTGAAGGTGGCTTGAAAAAACCTACCTTAAAACACCTCAGAAAAGGAAAAAATCAGTTAATTGGGCTTTTAAGCACTGGAATAAGTGTCTTAAGCCTTAAAATTGTGCAGAAGAAGAAGAAAAAAAAAGAGTGAAAATTTGCCCCCTCCCTGGGCATTACAAATTACGAATTTTACTGAGGTTCTACACTCCAATCATGAACAACTCTGGATGATGTATGTCCCGACCTCCATGAATTGGGTTAAATGCAGTTTAAATAGTTCAAGAAAGAAATCCATAATCTTAGATACCTACAGGGAGCCCCAGGGTCTATCGTCCATGCAACCCCAAATCAAAACATTCTCCACTACCAGAGGGAAGACCGCACCATTCCAGCCCTCAGGAATGACAGAAGAACCGAGCTTTAAAGCCTTGCAAAGGGGCTCAGCCGGTCGGCTGGAGGCTGCCCGCCTTGTAAAGCAAGCAACGAACTCATGACAACAAAGGCGCAGACCAGACCCTGTCTGCTACTCTACCTGTACAACATGTGGGGCAGCAGGACTGCCTTCTTGGGGAGGAGGTCTTGGAGCTGCCGACACGCCAAGACAACCTGCGTGGCCAAGCAGCGGTCAGCCCGGTCAGCCTGGCCCTGGGCTTCCTGCTCCCGGAGAGACATCTGGCTGCGTTCTGCCTGCAGGCGCTGTTGATCTCCCTCCAGCTGTTGCAGCCTGGCTCTCATCTGGTCTCTTTCCTGGAGGAAGAACCCCCCCCCCCCAAGAATCTGTTTCAGGAGTCAGAGAGGCTCAGCGGACTGCTTTCTCGTGGCTGCCACAGAAGTAAGGCTGTTTGGCATGGGAAAGGGTGATAGTTCAGTCACAAGGCAAATGCTTTGCATGAGAACATCATGGGAAGTGAGGCAGGACTCCTATCTGAAACTCCTTGGGAACAGCTGCAGTCGGTAAAGACAATTCCGAGCTCAACTGGTAAAGACAATTCTGAACTCAGCCTAAGCTCAGAGCCAAAGGTATGGCTGGAAATCACATTTTGCAAAAGCTGGACCACCTAAGTGACAAGCTTTTATTCTGACTGCTGCAACTGAATTTTGCTGCAGGATGGGGAGGCCAACTGACTTCCTGGAGGATCCTGAAGCCCCACCGTGCTGCTGCAATTCGATGGCAAACTGTCACGACAGCGTGGGTGTGAGAATATTATGCAGCAAAACGTCTCTTCACAATCCCCTGGCCTTGTTTCTGGGGCTGTTGCCCTCACCTGCTCCAGCTCCTCTCGCAGCCTCCGTACAGCTTCGGCTTTCTCCTTCTGCAGCACGGCCTGGAGCTCTTCCAAGCTCGCTCTCTTCTCACCCTCAAACAAATGGGCCTGGTTCTCCAAGCCTTGGACCTTCTGAAACACAGAACGCCAGGAGGGGCCGTTCTCACTCCTGCTGGCTCTTCTGCTGACCTGTAGGACTACCCCAAGGAGCAAAGGGGGGCTCCCAGCTTCTCCACCGAATTCAGGCCCACATGCCTGCAGATCTCCTCCCACCTGCCAGAGAGGGACCTCATTCATTACGTTTATCATTCAGAAGTTAAGGGCTAATAGCCCAAATAAGCAAGACTCCAGCACTCTTTTATTAGTGAAGTCATGAAGGCAGCACCCCTGTGAGCTGTCTGAACCTCTTTTTCCCAGAATGCAAGCCTGAAGGGCTAACCCCCCTGTTCCAAAGAAGGGTGGCAATCAAATATTCATCTGCTCTTCATCAATAACGATTTGTGACACTCCCCTTCCTTTCCAGCCCCATCAACCTGGTGGCTCTCACCCTACGGAGGTCAGCAGCTTCATTCCGCAAAGCACCGTTGAGCTTCTTTTCCTTCTCCAGGACTCTCTGGAGGTCCACCCACTTCCTCCGGTCCTGTTCCCCCAGGGCCTCACGCTGCATCTGGAGAGCCGCCTGGGTGTTGGCCTCCCATTTCTTCTGCTCCTGGAGCAGCGCGTTCTGCACCTGAGAAGAAGGAGTTCACTGGCTTGTGCCCAGAGGACACACAAGTCAACAGCACAAGTTGGATCCAGGGATGGTCTGGAGACGGATTTCTTCTGCCCACCAGCATGGTATTCCCACTGTGGTTTGTTCTGTAATATACGAGCTTGATGCAGGAGGATCAAAAAAGCTTATAATTGATTATAAAGATAAATAAATAAAAGCAGAGCAATAAACAATCAACAACAATACTAAGCAAGGCTGTCCCTTGCAGACAAAACTGGCCAAAATTGGACATGAGATCAAAAGAAGTCATTGTTCCTTTCTATTTTGAGTTGATCAGACCCCCCCTAAACATTGTCTCAATTTTTGAGCACCACATTTTAGGAAGGACGCTGATAAATCATGATAATTGATTAAGTTACTGTTGATTTTTAGCAGCCATATAAATTCTCTCCCTCTCTCTCTCCCCCTATCTTTCCATAGTTCCACATATCTCTTCCCTCTGTAAGATAAGCAGACAACAAGTATATTAAGCAGCTTGAGAGCAAGAACTTGAAGAAGAAGTGCTGGCTATATTTAGCCTGGAAAAGATCTAGGGGGAGACTTGACAGATCTCTTCAAGTATGGGTGGTTATGGAGAAGAGGGGCCAAAATTGTTCTGAGTTGTTCCAGAAGACAGGACAAGAAATGAAGGGTTTAAATTATAAGGAAGGAGATTTTAGTTGGACATCAGGAGAAATTTCCTAATGGTAAGAAGGGTTCCACAGTGGAATGGGCAGGAGATGGTGGACTCTCCTTTGCTGAAGGTGTTCCACCAGCAGTTGGGTGCCCAAGATTTGAGGATGCTATATTAGCAGATACGTGCAGAGGCAGGGGGTCGAACTAGAGGATCTCCAAGCCCCCTCCCATTCTACGATTCTGCGATCAGGGTGCTGATGAGGTAGGAGGCAGGAACTCAGCATGTGACTCAACCTACCATCTCCTTGGCCTCCAGCTTCAGAGCCACTGCCTGCTGATGTATGGCTTCCTGCTGCTGGATGACTTCTGCCTCTCGCTCCTGGATGGAAAGAAAACGACTACAGTGGCTGGATTCATACAACACACTCAACCCAGGTTAAGAAAACATAATTACTACATTCACCTAATATGCTTTGCTCAACTGGTTTGAGTTCACACACGATGCTAAGGGAATGGCTGGATTCTCATAAGATGCTGAACTACAAATTACTTGTCTTGTTGGGCAATTAGATTAATCTAATTCAACATCACCTATGCCTATGTTTTCCAACCTGGACGACTTCCAGAGATGTGCACTGCAACTCACAGAGTTCCCAGCTATGGCCACATTGGTTGGGGAATTCTGGGAATTGAAATCCACAGATCAGGAGGATACCCAGGATGAAAAAGTCAGAACTCTACTGGCTTGGAAGCAGTTCCTCAAGCTTTTAGGGAGTAGCCTCACCAACCCTACCTGGAGATGAAAACCTGAACATGAGAGCAGCTACGGCCCCACTGAGCTAAACCCCTGGCCATGATTTGAACTGTCTCCAGCTATAGAACACTTGTGGGGTGCAGACTGTGCTAAGCCACTATAGAGTTCATTCCCATGTTGTCAGGCCCAGCCCAAGGAACTCCAAGAGACAAAGCAAAATCAGTTCAGCTATGTTTATTAGCTACAACCTCTGGCAAGAATCTTCCCAGACTGAAACCCCAGCTCCCAAGTCAGCCAGCCACAAGAGTGTGAATTCCTCAGGGAGGTGCCAGTCTCATTCTCTTGTAGCTCCCACGCTCCATCGGCAAGCTAAGAAAATGCTTATCTCCCTGAGCCTGGCCTTCATAATTCCATTCCATCACACATGTGGCTTAGTGTGATAGTTCAATCCAGGCACTAAGGTTCATAAACCATGATTTATAGAAAGGGTAGGTGACCTTTGAAACAACAGGAATAGATGTGGGTGCATTCACATAATGTCTAGCATGGAACCGTGTCTATTCCAAAATGGCTGCCATTGTGGGTATGGCTAGTTACAAAACAGCCATTGATTAAAAGGTGAATTAGACCACACCCTCCCCCAAAGTTCTCATCCCTCCCAGTGGGACTTCTATGGGACTCAGAGTCTTCTGCAAATAAATGCAAGGTTGGAAGCTGGTGTTTACTCTGGAGCAGACCAGCTCCCTGTTAAATGTATTTTTTGTTAAAAGGACACTTTAAAAGATCAGGCGGGATAGTGAGTTTGCTGAGCACCAATGAAGTGTCTGGGGCATGTCAGTTTCCCTGGCCCAGCCCCAAGGTTGCCTACCCTGGTTTAGAACACAGCATATAAGACCCAAACTGTTGTGCCTTGTTCAAGTCATGCTTAAAACGCATTATGGTTTGGAGTGCTGTGTGAGCAACTTTATTCTGCGTATCCAACTTCACTGAGCTGTTGCGATGTTCAATGGGAAGCCCCTCACCAACCAAATACAGGTAGTCCTCAGCTTACGACCACAATTGGGACTGGAACTTCCATCGCTAAGTGATGTGGTTATGTTAGTCGCGCCCAATTTTACGATCTGTTTTGCCATGGTTGTTAATGAATCTGGCTTCCCCACTGACTTTGCTTGTTGGAAGCCCCCGGGAAGGTTGCAAATGGCCACCACATGACCCTAAGACGCTGTAACGGTCATAAGTACATACTGGTTGCCAAGCACCCAAATTTTGATCATGTGACCACAGGGATGCTGCGACAGTCATAAGTGCAAGGACTGGTCATAAGTCACCTTTTTCAGCGCCATCGTAACTTTGGTCATTAAACAGACAGTCGTAAGTCAAGGACTGCTTGTATCTTGCCTAAAATTCCCCAGTCAAAGGACAGAACAGAAGCATGTTATTTCAACACCTCCACAAAACACTGGCACTACTCAGGGCATGGCAATAATGACCTCTATGACCTTTCGAAGATTTTCAATTTCCTTCTGGAAGGTGACGGCTTGCTCCTGAAGAGCGCTGGCTTTAGCCTCCTCCAAGCTCCCTGCAAACTGAAAAACAGATGGGACAAAAAATAAACAGGCAGTTTATTTCCTTAAAACATGCAGTTTTTCCTCCCCATGAGGGGTAGTGTGGGAATGTAATAACCAGATCAATAAGTTTGTGTATTTAAGAAGTCAGTCTTGAATCATAAAATCAATGCAGCAATAATGAAATCCACTGATTATGCACAGGTGCAGAAAACGTGATCGGACATGCTGAATTTGGCACTCAGGGAAGAAATATTACTTTGATAAAAAAGAACATTTTAGCTTAGTGTTTCTCAATCTTGGCAACTGGTGGCTGGGGAATTCTGGGAGTTGGTCCAGACACCTTAAAGTTGCTAATGTTGAGAAATGCTGTTTTAGCTTTTCTTTAAAATGTTTTATCTAAGATAAAAAACACTGTGCTTTTTATCTTAGCCATGGAAGCAGAAAAGGTCAAATGTTAAGCAAAAGAAAGGTGAAGTCTTCTTTATGTCAGTTTTGACTCCTTGCAACTCATGGACAACACTCTTGTGGTTCTTTTTGGCAACAATACCAAAGTGGTTTGCCATAGCCTGATTCCAGGACGATGTTTTTTCAATTTCCCAATCCAAATTAGAGTTTGGGATTTCCTCCCACCCAAATCCTAACCATATCCAACTCTGCTTCGCTTCCAGGCCTAGAGAAGGTTGTCTAAGCCCAGACACGAACAAAGAAGATGGCGATCTGCGTAGTCCACTCTCAAAATCTGAGTTCTCTCCTGTGAAAGACACAGCAGAGGCAAAAAAACCAACAGCCTTTGCCAAGGCTGAGACTTCATTTCACGTCAAGCCTCACTGAGCTACGTGGGAAGCAAGGTCTACACAGATCTTAGGAAAGATTTTTGGGAAATCTTTCATGCTGGTCTGGGGTCAATACAGGATCTTGGAAACTGCAGGAGGAATTTGCCACCTTGTTCATTCATTAAGGCAGAGTCTCTGCAGGACTGGAAATGCTGCTTCCCAGGTTTGTCCCCACCTGGGCTGAACCACCATTTATGAGATAAGCCAGTGTTTCTCAACCTTAGCAACTTTAAGATAAGAATTCTGGGAGTTGAAGTCCATGCATGCTAGCTGGGGAATTCTGGGCGTTGAAGTCCATGCATGCTAGCTGGGGAATTCTGGGAGGTGAAGTCTACCCATGCTGAATGGGGAATTCTGGGAGTTGAAGTCCACATATCTTAAAGTTGTCAAGGTTGAGAAACTGAGATAAACTGCCAGAATCTATCCTTCTGTCTCCTGATTGCTGATCTCCTCTCTCGCCTCCATTCCTTTCCCAACCTTCCCACCATCTCTCACAATTCCCAGGGATTCAAAGGGCCCTGTGGATACCTCTTGCAAAGCCCATTTTTTCTCCAGCTGCATCTCTTCCCGTAGCTGACAGAGCTCTTTCTCCTTGCAAGAAGAAGGAAGAATAATTACTTACACATTCACAGCCCGGACGGTCTTTCCCGGCAATCCACGGAAAACCTCAGGAGAGGGGGTCACCTGGTTTGCTGCCGGACCCAACAAACTCGAAAGTCAAAGATCTTCCAGAAGATCCAGTCCCGCTTATATAAGCCTTGCTTGTTTTTGTGTATGTTTGTCTCTCGGTTTTGTTGGCCATAACAAAGTTTTGTTCTATCTATCTATCTATCTATCTATCTATCTATCTATCTATCTATCTATCT